CCGTTGATTGTAAGGGATGGACAGAGTGCAAAAAGTTTGGATTAGAAGATTGGAAGGCGAGAATTATAACTAAGGATGACCATTAATTTCACTCCATTGCCGTCGCGAAAGGGTGTGCTGGTACTTAATTGTTCACTTCCTGGGGTTTAGCTATCATTTTGAGACTTAAGAACAGAACAAAACCAGTTCTGTTTAGGAGTAGGTAAGACTTTTGAGTGATTTATTTGCAGCACTGACACCTCAGAGATACTAATGTTTTGGGTCTGATTTGCTTTTCTTTTAGAAAATTTTTCATATATGTGGTGCTTATGTAGTGAAGAGCGTTTTTCAACGTTTCATTAGCGATGTATATCTTCGAGTGAAGCATTATATTCACATGAATTTTTTTTATTAGGTAGTAAGGTACCTGTTTCATTACTTTTATAGGATTCTGTAACTGTGAAATATTCAGTCATCTTTTTAGCCATCAAGCAGTAGATTCCTTACGTTGGTTTTGGTGTGTACTGGAGTGAGCGTATGTTGTTACGCGTTCAAAGAATTTGGAGTCTGAGGATAAGTCCCATGTCATTCTGGTTTGACGAATACCGTTTGAACAAAAAGCAGGTTGAAAGTAACTTCCACTTTTCTCCTGTGCCTTATTCGGCTTTCTTATTTTTCGTTCGGACTGACTCTGCACTTTCTGTTTTTTGCTACTTAGTAATAGTAACTTCTGCATTTGATGGCATCTCTCGCTGTCCTTTTACTTATTTTTTGATTATAATTCGTGAATCGTGTAATTTCTGGGAATGTTTGTCTTCCGAACAGGGTAGGTTGCTATTAGTTTGCGAGAGTATCTATTAGTTAATTGTGCAGTTTTGAAGGTTAGGTATCTTTTAAAAGCACGCTGAGAAGACCTAGTTCAACATTTTTAATCCATTTCCTGATAAAGTTTCTACTGAGTTAGGTAGAAGTGAGGAATAAAGATCTTTGCGATATGTAAATGTGGAAAAAGGTAGGAGGAGAAAGTGATTTGTCGTTCAAGTAGATTTGTACGAAATAATACTTCTTAATCACAAGTGGCTTGAAAATTAATTTACCTGTGGAGTGAAGTTTTTAATAAGAGTAGGTGAGCTTGTGATGTGAATGTTTGAATATTTGTTTAACATACAGAAGATGGTACATTTTTGTAATCAATGAACAGGAAATAAATGAAATTGTCCTCTTAAAATTGGAAGATATGGTTAGCTACGGTCCTTCGCTGAACGAAATGTTATGATCTGTATTAACCGCTGCGTTGGTAATGGTTTTCAACTTCTCGAATGGGCTCGGCAGCATGATACTTAGTTTTTTAACTGGTTATAGTTGTTTTTAATGAGTGACTAGTTCAATGGTTTATACGTGGCTTTGTTGAGCGTTCAAAAATTTGTATCTTTCTACGATTGGTGTATTGAAGAAAATGTATTGTTGTCTTAAGCCTTCTATGCTTGTCTTCTGTTGCATGTTTTTAATAAATTGATTGTTTTAGTTTCTTTCTTTTTCTGTATTTCAGTCAGGTGTAATTGAATGAAGTGTAGGGTACATCTTTTTGCCGTTAAAAATTGGTAGTTAAATTGTTGAGCTTATTTCATCAAGGATAGGGAGTGAGTCAGGGGTGAAAAAGGTTGTTTAATTTTTTTTTAGGGGGTGACTGGTAGTCTAATTATTATCGACTTATCAGTATATTATTTATTATTATTTACAATTTGCCTTTTATTTTAGAAAGCAGGTCGTGATCATGTAGGCGATTACTAATCTAGTAGAAGCAAAAAAAAAGTGAAGGGTGAGAAAAGAAGTTTGATCTAAATATTCTTGTTGTTAACTGGAAGCTGCTTTTCGTGTTTTCTTTCTGGCGTGAGATTTCAGCTATTCTTTGTGATTCACTTGTGAACAGTAGTGAGACCATTTGATGGTGACATATGAGTTTTTATGAACAAATACGAGCAAACGACGGGGAAATTGATTTTAGGTTCATGTAGTTTACCTTTTAATTAAGTAGCTGAATAGATCCAATTAATTTTGCTGTTGTACGCTGAAGTTGCCAGGTGCACAAGCGGTTTTGCAGCGTTCATAATGCATTCTTCTTTCTTTTCGCAGAAGGCAATTTCGGACAGTGTTTACAGAATTTACTGTTTAATTTTTACGACAAACCAGTATATGCAGACTGCTAGAAAAAATAACTAAATTCTAATAGGAACGGTCGTTTAGCTGAAGCTCTCGAAACGTTATTGCTGTTGTCGCCTTCACTTGTATTTTGTCCCGACAACTTTCAGCAATTGATTTTTACTTTATGCATTAAAGAGTGCTGGTTGTATGAAATATTCATAAAAACAGTTAACGTTTTGCCCTTACAGAAATAAAAAAAGACAAAGTTAGAAAATAAGGAGGGTAATCTGAACTAAGGAATCTCGCAGAAGCTGAGATGCAGTAATAGGGGAAGTTGATTGGTGTCGGAATTTTTTGCAGTTTTCGTGCTTTTGATTTGTTGTTGTGGATCTTTTGATTTTTCAAGCCTTGCTGTTGTTTTTTTTTCATTGCTTGCTTATTTTATTTCACTTCATTTCATTTCTTTTTCTTCCGTCCCGAATAATGTGCATCTTCTCTGTAATTTTCAGTACGGAAGTCCTTTTCAGCAAGCATTCTCGCTACTTTTTTGTGCTCCTTTAACTTTGGCAGTATTGGAGATTTTTTCTTTTTTCCTGATGGCATACGCTGTTGTTAAGGGACGGGTTAATTCGTTGTTCAAGCTTGTTAAATCCCAACTTCTAAAAGTTTCTATAATTACAGCTGCAGTGTTCGAACTAGCATCTGTTGTCAGAAATGTTTGTATCATATTACTTTTTGGAATGCTTCAGTCGATTGCTTAATTGCAGCTTAACGTTGTACGTACAGTGGCTTCTATTGTCGACGAAAGCCAGGTTTTCTTGGTGATGAGTATATACCGATTAAGGTTTGTTCCTATGCTTATGAGCAATAGTGAGCTGTTAGTTGCTTTTTTCTGCATTTTTCTTTGACTGATTACCATATGTAACTGTATTCATTCATATGTACATACTACTAACAGTGTTGGCAGAGTCAGTTATATGTTAATAAGGTTGTCAATTTTGCGTATGCTACTGTTTTTTAACAGACCAAATTACAAAAAATCTTGATTAGTGGCTTTTTTTTCCAATTACTCAGCATTATTTTCGCCACTGGAACAACGGTACAACCCGTTAATCCCTTGCAGCGTTAGCCTGAAGTTTCAGTTAAATTGTAATCTTTGGTTTAGAGCTAACAATTTTTTGGTAGTCTGTAAATTGTTGTTGTATCTATTGTTCTAGTTTTTTTTAACCAGAAGTATCTTCTCATTGCGGTGTTGGTTGGAGTGGTTTACGGGTTGTGTCTTCGTTTTTTTTTCTTTTTAGTGCTTGAGATACTGTTATTTTAATTTCTTCTATGCTTTTCTTGGCACAGAGGTTTTTCAAAAGAATATTTTGGTCAATTTCGTGATTTAGACAAAAGTATCTTCAGCTGCTTTAATGGATGAAATGAAATAATAGTAGGCAGCATAGAAACAGTAGCTTGAATTTCTGTGCAATATAAATCTCGCATGGAAGTTATCGGTCCTCTTTTTTAGGGGATCCAGAATTCATAGATTAGAAGAATTTTTATGACACTAAAGGCTTATAATGCAAATAAAATTTTCTTTGTAAGGTACATATGGTTTACGTCGAGTTTTAAGTTTATGAGATTCAATACTGAATTTTCTATTTGCGTATTATTTTCATTGGCACTTTCATAATTAGTGATGAAAAAAACAGGTTGGAGCAAGGTAGAAGTAATTTGTGAGGTTTTTTGTATTCCATAAGTTTTTCTTTCCGTTCTGTGCATGAGCGGAAGAGGTATCGTTGACGTTTTAACATCTGTTGTAATTTTATAGTAAATTCTGACTCGGCGCTTTTTTTAGGTTTTTAGTACACAAGTGCAATGTTGGAATTATTGAAAGGAAAGTGATTGTCGAGATATATATATTTTTTGCGTCAGGTTCAGATTTCGTAACTTTCTGTTGTTAATTTGGTGACCAGTATTATCGGATATATCTAATTTACGTTGTGCTCTATGAAAAGGACAAACACCAGTTCACTTGGACAGCGTAGTGCTTAACTGACATTTTTTCTGTCGTCCAAGCTGAAGGAGCAACGAATATGGGCGATCACCGGAAACAGAGTGGTTGCCCGCCAGGGTATCGAAAACCTATGCGTCGGGTTAATGAAACACATCTTCAAGAGCCCATTTCGAGGTTATTTTGTCGTTTAATTTTAGTATAATTTTTCAAATTCTTGGTAGAATCATGTTGATTTCGAAAGGTTTTGTTTCACAGGTTGTATAAGTAGGTAAATTTTTCCAGATATTAATCTGAACAGCAACATTATGATTATTACTTTTTTGGACACATTTTTTTTCTCAAAAATTTGTTGGATCTCTTTAAATTAGTTTAATCTGGCCATCTTTTTACTTGTTGTGCCTTTTTAATTGAGGTTTATCAGGAGCCATAAATTAACGGTCTATATATTTGAAATGAAAAAAAGATTTAGTATTTCTTCGATATATTTCATTCTGGCAAATAAAAATCTGAGGATTTTGTGGGTACTTTTAAACAGTCTCATTTCACAGTTCTTTTTTTCTACGTTTCTAATTTTCAGTGTTTTGAAACATCTTTTTTCCTGTTTTATTGTTTTATTGGATTGAAAATTAGAGATATGAGAGACTGGAAAGAAGTAAGTTATTCTTAGATAAGGATATTAAATGTGACTAGTAGCAAATGATAATGAAATATGAATTCATGTAGTGTGGATCTGTAGTTTTTTGAGCTTTGAGGTAAGGTCTTCTGAGCAAATTTTACTCTTGTTTTTATTTATTAGTACAGATAACTTCCATGTAGTTATTGGGTTTCTATAACGTCCTATTTTATTGGTTGAAGTTTATAACCAATCACTATTGGCTTTAAGTCGATTTTGTCTTTTAGAGAATTCGGTAGTCTAATGCATTTTGAGTTACAGGATAGATTCTTAAGCAGTTTCTGGGTTTTATAAACTCGTATATCTTTTCTTGACACTGTAGTGAAATTGTATAGAGTATTACTGGTCTTTTTTTCTTGATTCTGCGTCGGGAACTGGCAACCATTTTAACCTTCTAATTTGTTGATGAATTTCATATGAACAATGAAGTATTCACATTTGTTCTATGCTTAATCGTATTTCCAATTTTAGTTGATGTCATTTGAGTTGGATATGTAGACAGTTTTCGATTTACACTCTAGTGGATAATCGAATGATTCATAAACATACGGAGTTTTTGAGTCATTTGCTCTTATTTTGATTTTCAGTGTAGTATGACTAGACTTTAAAATTTGAAAAATGATATAAAAGTGCTAAATTGCAGCACTGGTTCAAATTGGTTGTCTGGCGAAGAAAAATCTCGTCTGGAGGCCGTGCAGAGGGATTGGAGATCTTCACGACCAAAATTTTTTTATGTGAGTTCTATTTTCAGGGCTAGAGTTTTGATCGAGTTTTTGAATTTTGCAGTTGACGTTGTCTTTACGCGATTTCTTTTGCAATTTTATGCTCAATAAGTTCTCTGAAGACGAGTTTTCAATCCTCAACAGCTTTATTTTTGTATTACTTGAAACTTTTTTTTGTTTTCTGTAGTTTTTCTAGTGCTTTCATTTGATTTAAAAAGTTGTAAGTTTTGAGTGGTATCGGTTGAAGGGAAAACTTGTGTACTTGTAAAGTATATTCAGTTGACGAGTGCATATCTGCTTCATTGTTTTAATATTAGACCGATGTACACGTTTTGCTACTCACAGACTATATATATATATATATATATATATATATATATATATAGTTTATATATATATATATATATATATATATATATATATATATTATATATATATATATATATATATATATATATATATATATAGGTGCTGTGCTTAAGAGTGCGTATTTTTGTTTGTGGTCGTCCCCAAAATCCTTACAACTTTTTGGTTTATCAAACAGCTTTTGGACAACTACAGAAGTAGTTAATCTAAATAAATAAATAAATAAATAAATAAATAAATAA